AGAGGAAAGATAGACTTAGCAGAGAGATCACCGAATTAGATCAAAAACTTAGGATGTCATATCAACAGAAGTACGAAGGGCCATACAGGATATTGCAAGAAACCTAAAATATTTCTATTCATATGCAAAATGTAAGCAAAGAACTAACTGTAGAATTGGACCATTGTTAAGAGGAGATTCATATACTGACGATGAGCAGGAAATGAGTGAAACTCTAAAAGAACAGTATGAGTCGGTGTTCAGCAACCCACTAAATGACAGCAAGGTAGAAAATGCAGAAATATTTTTAACTCCAGGAGAAGACCGCCAGACCAACTGACATTAGTACAAATCCCAGTTCTCTCTCTTGTCAAGAAGTCGCCTCGTACAGAATCTTGTAACCTCAACTGTCGAGCAGATGAGAGATATGTCTAAGTGCTGTAAGCTCGCTCGCTCTCTCTTTGGTACGAAGTTTTTTTTTTGTGAAGAGAATTGTAGAAGAGTGGAACAAGTTACTCGCCAAAGTTGTATGTGCGAACACATTACATTTTCAAAATATTTATTTTATTATGCAGTTTTTGAATTCTGGGAATTAATGGACTTTTTTTTTTTATGGATAGTGGCAGTGTTTACCTTTGCCGAAAGTTTCTTGCAAATTGGTTGAAAAACAAAAAAAATATGAATAAAGCATATTTCTTTTCTTCCCTTCTGTTGCATTACTGGGCAGTATAAAACATCTTGGGTGCCAGACATCGATAAAACACACCCAAATGGCATCCAAAATGTTCGAACAATTTACTTTTTGGCCTTGTGAAATGATATAAATAAAATCCCCTCAAAAATAATACCAAAAACCTTTAAAAAATTCAGGCTGTTGAAGATTAGTCAAAAACAATAAACAGCATATCTGTGAACATAAGTTTGTAGAACCGTCTTATAATCTATAACTTACAAAATAATTGGAATGGATAACTCGAAGTCAAGGAACTAAAATGAAAGGACAGTATGAACAAAAAAAAAAAAAACTCGTTGGAAGAGAACATACTAGGTAGCATCTCCAGCCGTGGTCTGGAGTATACTGAGTGCTGAGTCGGTGTTGCTGATGTACCAAACATCCAGACAACTTTTGAGTTGCCACTCCGCGTTTCTACATAAGAATACTTGTTAATGAATGAAAACCAAATCATAAATGATTACATAAAACAGTAATTACATAATTTGGTCTATGTAACGTCAGTGATGATGATAGCAAACAAAACTCTGAAATGGTTTAGAATTGTAAAAATTAAATGATGTAAAATCCAAAATGTAGCTCACTTCTACGAAAATTTTACGAGACTCGGTTATTCAACTTAAAAGAAAAATCCTTGCCTAAAATATAGGTATCTTCGTCCTCAAAAACCAGGTGGGGAAGTATAGGATTTAAGTAGATACTACTCTAGGGAAGCTGATATTTATCAGCTACATCACGACGATCACTTGACAACAAGCTGACTAACTTAGAGTAGTAGTGATTGTGATAGAAGTAAATTGGCTACAACTACCTCAACTTAATTAGAACTATTTTTACACTACTGCTGTTGCTACACAATCACTTAAAGATCTGTGTGTACCAGTGGTATCCAGGAGAACCACTGGTAGACATCTCCACGAGTGGCGGTGTATACCAGTGGTATCCAGGAGAACCACTGGTAGACATCTCTACGAGTGGTGGTGTATACCAGTGGTATCCAGGAGAACCACTGGTAGACATCTCCACGAGTGGCGGTGTATACCAGTGGTATCCAGGAGAACCACTGGTAGACAGCTCCACGAGTGGCGGTGTGTACCAGTGGTATCCAGGAGAACCACTGGTAGACATCTCCACGAGTGGCGGTGTATACCAGTGGTATCCAGGAGAACCACTGGTAGACATCTCCACGAGTGGCGGTGTATACCAGTGGTATCCAGGAGAACCACTGGTAGACATCTCCACGAGTGGCGGTGTATACCAGTGGTATCCAGGAGAAACCAGGTAGAACATCTCCCGAGTGGTGGTGTATACAAGTAGTATCCAGAGAACCCACTGGTATAATCTCCACGAGAGGTGGTGTATACCAGTGGTATCATCAGGAGAACCACTGTAGACAGCTCCACAGTGGCTGTGTGTACCATAATATCCCAGGAGAACCACTGATAGACTACTCCACAGTGGCGGGTGTACCAGTGGTATCCATCCAGAGAACCACAGTAACTCGTCCACGTGTGGCGGTGTATACCAGTGGTATCCAGGAAGAACACTGAAGAACATCTCCACACGAGTGGCGTGTATACCAGTGGATCCAGGAGAAACCACTGGAGACATCTCCCACAGTGGCGTGTATACCAGTGGGGGGTGGAAAATTGCATTTAATCTGTATGTAAACCATTATGTACAGAACAGGAAATAACAAAGAATAATTATTAATTTTTTCAAAGTTACATAGACACGTAGGAATTAGGGACACTAGGCCGCAAAAAATTCCCCCTTCGATACCACCACTGTCATATCCACAAGTTGCTCTGTCCTATAATTATAAATAAAAGATACACACCAGAATTCGGGTATATATATAAATTTGTGACTGTAAATATTAAAAATACTAAATATTAAATCTAACACATTTACATAACAGAAGAAAATATCTTAATATCAGTCACCAATTTGACTGGAGATTAATGGTGTCCATGTACAGACCCCCCCTTTTGCGTACTTATAAAAATTTACTGGCCAAATTTACATATAAATTAGACAGACTTATCTGAGTTCCTGGAGTTGTCCTGTCCTGTCGCCTGATACTTCAGTTGTGCCAGGAAATGCACATCCACAATTCGCCTCCAATTTGAGAGGTGTCACCCCAATTTTATCCTCTAGAGCACGAAAAAATCTCTTACACTTAACGTCCTCTAGTCCAAATTCAAACAAAATGCGACCGTCTCTGCGCAGGCGCAGGTCCAGTTTCCCATTTTCGATAACCTACTTCTTTTAAAAATACGATAATAGGGCATCCTATTAACCTATAAATTTAACCGTATTTTTCCGGAAAATAAGTATTTCCACAAGTGGTATCCAGTGAATCACGGTATAACAGCTCCAGCGAGTGGCTGTTGTCCCAGTAATATCCAGTAGAACAATGGTAATTCAGCTCCCACAAGCTCCACAGTGGCGGTGTTGTACCTTGGTATCTGGAGAACCACTGTAGACAGCTCCACAATGCCTGTGTGTACCAGTGGTACCAGGGGGAGAGAACACTGTAGACAACTCCACAGTGGCTGTGTACCGTGGTACCAGGAGAACCACTGGTAACAGCTCCACGAGTGGCTGTGTGTACCAGTGGAATCCAGGGAGAAACACTGGTAACAGCTTCCACGATGGCTGTGTGTACCTGTGGGTATCCAGTGGGAGAACCACTGGTAACAGCTCCACGAGTGGCTGTGTACCAGAGTATCCGGGAGGAGAACCACTGTAGACAGCTCCACGGAGTGCTGTGTGGTACCAAGTGCATATCCTGGAGGAGAACCACTGTAGAACAGCGGGTCCACGAGTGCTGTGTGGTACCATAGTATCCTTGAGAACCACTGGTAGACAGCTCCCACGAGTGGCTGTGGTACCAGTGGTATCCTGGAGAGAACCAATGGTAAGACAGCTCCCACGAAGTGGCTATGTGTACTAGTGGTATCCTGGAGGAGAACCACTGGTAGACAGCTCCACGAGTGGCTGTGTGTACCAGTAGTGTCCTGGAGAACCACTGGTAGACAGCTCCACGAGTGGCTGTGTGTACCAGTGGTATCCTGGAGGAGAACCACTGGTAGACAGCTCCACGAGTGGCTGTGTGTACTAGAGGTATCCCCCCCTGGGGGGGAAAAAGGAAAAAAAGAAACCACTGGAACCACAGCTCCACGAGTGGCTGTGTGTACCAGTAGTGTCCTGGAGAACCACTGGTAGACAGCTCCACGAGTGGCTGTGTGTACCAGTGGTATCCTGGAGGAGAACCACTGGTAGACAGCTCCACGAGTGGCTGTGTGTACCAGTGGTATCCTGGAGAGACCACTGGTAGACAGCTCCACGAGTGGCTGTGTGTACCAGTAGTGTCCTGGAAAAACCACTGGTAGACAGCTCGCCACGAGTGCTGTGTGTACCAGTTGGTATCCAGGAGAAGCACTGGTACAGCTCCACGAGTGGCTGTGTGTACCAGTAGTATCCTGGAGGAGAACTACTGGTAGACAGCTCCACGAGTGGCTGTGTGCACCAGTGGTATCCTGGGAGGAGAACTCACTGTAGACAGCTCCACGAGTGCTGTGTGTACGAAAACAGTGGTATCCTGGAGGAGAACCACTGTAGACAGCTTCACGAGTGCTGGTGAGTACCATTAGTATCCAGGAGAACCACTGGTAGACAGCCTCCACGTGTGGCTGGTGTACCAGTTCGTATCCTGGAGGAGAACCACTGGGAAAAAAACAGCTCCAACGAGTATCTGTGTGTACCATGGTATCCTGGAGAAGAACCACTGATAGACAGCTCCACGAGTGGCTGTGGTGTACCTGTGGCATCCCTGGAGAACCACTGGATAGACAGCTCCACGAGGCTGTGTGTACGAGTGGTAAACCTGGAGAAACCACTGGTAAGAAAAGCTCCACGAGTGGTGTGGTGTAACCAGTGGTTCCAGGAGGAGAACCACATGTAAACGCTCCACGAGTAAGCTGTGTGTACCAGTGGGATCCTGGAGGAGAACCACTGGTAGAACCAGCTTCACGAGTGGCTGTGGTGGTACCATAGTATCCTGTGAGAACCACTGGTAGACAGCTCCACGAGTGGCTGTGTGTACCAGTGGTATCCTGGAGAACCACTGGTAGACAGCTCCACGAGTAGCTGTGTGTACCAGTGGTATCCTGGAGGAGAACCACTGGTAGACAGCTCCACGAGTGGCTTGTGTAACCTTGGCATCCTGAAAGAGAACCACTGTAGACAGCTCACAGTGGTTGTGTGTACCAGTAATATACTGGAGGAGAACCACTGGTAGACAGCTCCACGAGTGGCTGTGTGTACCAGTGATATCCTGGAGAAACCACTGGTAGACAGCTCCCACAGCGAAAAACAGGTGGGCTGTGTGTACCAGTGTATCCTGGAGGAACCCTGGTAGACAGCTCCACGAGTGGCTGTGTGTACCAGTGGTAATCCATAGAGGAGAAACAATGAAACAGCTCCACGAGTGGCTATGTGTACCAGTAAGTTCTGGAGAACACTGGTAGACAAGCTCCACGAGTTGGCTTGTTGTACCATGGTATCCGGAGGAGAACCACTGGAAAACAGCCTCCACGATGCTATGTTACCAGTATATCCTGGAGAACCACTGGTATACAGCTCCACGAGTGCTGTGTGTACCAGAGGGTGATCCAGGAGAACCACTGTAAGCAGCTCCACGATGGCTGTGTGTACATGTTATCCTGTAGGAGAACCACTGGTAGACAGCTCCACGAGTGGGCTGTGTGTACCAGTGGATCATGAGAACCACTGTAGACAGCTCCCACGAGGTTGGCTTGTGTAACCAGTGGAACCAGGAGGAGAACCACTGTAAACAGCTCCACGAGTGGCTGTGTGTTACCAGCGTTATCCAGGAGAAACCACTGGTAGACACTCCACTACAGAGGCTTGGAGTAACACCATATTACGATAGAAAACAATACTAATTAGCAAGGTCGGCCAGTGTGTTGCCTAGGTCTCCATCACTCCTGATATTCCATATCATTTACCACATAAATGTGTGTTGTTTTTAACATTATTGGTCTTGGCAGACTGCCTGAAGGGTCGAAGTGAACCTTTTTCTCTTACTATCAATTCCCTCACAGTCTTTATAATAACATGAATAGTCTTTGATGTAAATAAAGTCTGTTTTTTACCACGCAATCAATTTTCCAGGCAGTTCTCACAGGTAGTCCTCGACGTGGACTTAAAACACAATCCCAGTACTTACTGACTTAGCCATATCCTCCTCTTTTCTCTCTTTATTACACAGGGTTTTGGGTTTGGTTAAGGGTCCTTATTTTGTTGACAAGCTCTCTCTCTCTCTCTCTCTCTCTCTCCTCTCTCTCTCTCCATACTCTCCTCTCTCTCTCCTCTCTACTCCTCTCTCTCGTCTCTCCTCTCTCTCCTCTATCCTATATCTCTCTCTCTCTCTCTCTCTCTCTCTCTCTCTCTCTCTCCTCTCTCCTCTCTCTCTCTCTCTCCTCTTCTCTCCATCTCTCTTCTCTCTCTCCTCCCTCTCCTCTCACTCTCTCTCATATCATACACGTATATTACAATAGTGCATCATATGTTCATTTGTTTTTAAACAGTAATTATTTTGGTTGAGAGGAGTGTGTGGAAGGAAGGTCTTGTTATTTTCACTGTGTTAGAGGAAGACTAATACCCAGCTAACTTTACTTTATATCATCTTCACTTTATTGTAAGTGTGTCAAGTGTCTTCATAGTGGCACTCATAACCATACTCATCCGCTCCCAGACACGTCCATGTACACTCATGACCACACTCCATCCTCCCCAGACACTCATGTACACTCATGAACCACACTCTGTAAGGGGGGGGGGGCACTCAGGACCACACTCATCC